AGGGGCCAAGCCAAGGCCCCTTACGGATATAAAGATTAGGCAAACCCGCAACACTGCTGCGTGTTCACAGTTACACCCGGTATGCACGACACACAGGCAATGCAATACGAAATTTTGCACACCTTTTAAACACGTTTTACTGCTGTGGAAGGCCTTTTGCAAAACTACGCGGTTTAATGCTTACGGAAAAATAAATTCGGGTGTAAGTTAGAAATGGGAACAGGGGTTGTTATTTTGCTTCTGAACCTGTAAGCAAGTTATTTGCCTCTACATTCTTCTCTATAAATACAACATTAAGCACTGGAGTCACATTTAAGTTGCTGTCGGTTAAATATGTCACACACTTTACGGAAAAAAGTCTTTTGTTTGCAAATTTCACAACAGGTAATATTTACTTCAACTCATATGCAATTCTGCACTTTTAGCTTTGGCTCTCGGAAAGTTTTCTGCGCAGAACGCAGAAACATATAGGCTAATTCAAACTCCTTTGCACACTTCTAACACAACACATCAAGAGTGGTAACTTTTCCACATACTGGAATCGCAACCACTAAAATAAATTTATCTGGTCAAAATATAAATGTCTATTTATTTTTATTTTTTTCGTACAGAACATTTGGCCATATGTCCACCAAAAACAGTCCATTCGTCTAAAGGCTCAGAGGGAGTGAGAGCAAGGTCAAAATCACGCCAAAAAGAGCCCTATTTGATAAGAAACATCATTGTGGCTTACAGACCCCAAAAGGCCTAATGATCCCCAGGGAGAAGGTCGGGAGGTTCCGGTTAGAAAACAAAAACAAAAACGAGCTATGTCACCGGCTGATATTATCACCAATCGCAGAGCAAAATGCAAAATAAATTGACTGCATAACTACGGAAATATCACAAACAATGTCTCGTGCGTTGGCTGACCCTCAGAGAACACGGTTTTGTCAATAATCAATAAGACTTGGTCATTTGGTGGGTAGATTTGACGTCATTCTGACCATCATCTGATGTCAAAATGACATCGAAGCTGGCCACCAGGTGACCAAATCTTGACACTGATATAATTTTGACGTGATTTGGACTGAACTTTTTTCTCTAGGGCGTTTCTGCTCGCGACTGCGGGGGCTTTCGGTCGATTCGACATGATTTTGACTTTGCCGTCGGCGTTTGATGGGGGTCGCTCCGAAGGTGGCGTTCCAGAGGGATGTGGGCTGGGGGCCTCGAGGCGACACGGGTGACACGTCCCCGTCAACCGCAGACGAGACGATCACGAGCGCCGGTTTGAGACGGATGATCGTTCTCGCGACGAACAATGAAATGGGTGACCTCGCGGGGACGTCAATAGGACGTCAACATGACCCTTTCGCGCCACTTTGCCGGGAGGGGTTTGCGCAGCTCGGCCGCTGCTCAGTCGAGTTGGGTCCCGGATGCCGGGCCCGGATCAGCGCGGGGGCCGCGCGGCGCCGGCCAGGACGCCGAGGACGGGGACGGCGGCGAGGAGGTGGAGGCCGCGGTGCGGCCGGGTGCGCGCCGACGCCGAGTAGCCCTCTGCCACCGTCACGTTGAGCTGCACGCTGCCCTCGGACGCGCCGCCGCTCGAGCGCACCAGCAGCAGGTACTCGCCCTCGTCCGCAGGCCGCACCCGGTGCAGCGTCAGAGAGGCCACATGGCAGTGCACCGTGTCGCTGGCCTGCAACAGAAAACAAACCAGGTTAGACTGAGGAAATGCAAGCGTGCACCAATTTTTCTGTGTTTCTTTCTAAATTTTTCTAAGTTTTCTCTGAGATTGTCTGATTTTTCCTGATTCTCACTGGTTTTTTTTCTAATTTTTCTGACATTTTTTTCTGATTTTTAAAACTGTATTTTCCTTGTTTATGTTTAATTTA